CAAACACAAACACACACACACACAAGTAGGCATCGAGCCCACCAAGGAAGTCCCATGAGGTCAGTTGTATTGCTTATTTTTCTTACATACTACAGATGTCTATGTATGTATATATATATGTGTGTGTGTGTGTTTGTATCTATATACAGATATATGCATGCATGCATGCATGCATGGACCTGGACGGAGGTATGCATCTATGTTCAAGTGTGTGTGTATACAAAGACACATAAATAAACACATAAATAAATAAAGCATAAGTACATAAATAAATAAACACACAAATAAATAGATAAATATAAATATATGTAATGTATCTATAATATATGTATATATATATATGTGTATATATATGTATATATATATGTATATGTATATGCATGTATATATATATAATGTATATATAGTATGTATATATATATATGTATATGTATATGTATATGTACATATGTCTACATTGTGCAGTACCCATGTACGTCGCATTAGATCTGTAGATGCGCAAAATTTTAGACTCAACCTCTCTACATCAAGGCGGCTCGCACGCCATTATTATCCAACAAATGTTTTCAGACTCTGACACGTTCGGGCGTGTTTAGCTTTGACTCACTTGCTCGTGCCTGTACATGGCTACGTGGATAAGTATCTCTTCTTGCTGCTCTTAGCGTTCGTGATTTTATCGGTATACAGTGAGGAGAGGCCTCCATGTAGGCGTAGACATGAAAGCAGATGAGGAGCAACCGGGCCACGGGAAGCTTCGGTATGGGCGAACAGGCAATGGAGCAGTAATGATGCTGAGCGTTATCGGTTCCAGGGTATAGGTTTTGCTTTTTTTGTTTCGGTGGGGGGGGGAGTTTTCTGAGGTTTAGGGTTCAGGGTTATAGCCCATCGAGCAAAGGACACTCATCCACCGTACAGATGCACAATTTCTACGTCTGTTCTATTCTAGTCTGTGAACGCATAGTATCATATAGCATCTGTATCTGTATCCAACACCTACATCTGTGTCTACACCTATATCCATGTCGATACATACAGAAACGTGTATAAACAGCGTGCATGTACTAACATGCAATGCAGGGGGGTTTTAGGCTCACAGCCAGGGGGCTTTTGAGGTGGACGACTACTACTACTACTACTGCTACTGCTACTACTACTACTACTACTACTACTTCTACTACTACGACTACTACTACTACTGCTACTAAAGGCACCACCACTACCACTACCACCGCACCACTACTGTATGACTTCACGCCTGTCTTCGAGGTGGGAGGATCCGAGCCGGCCTGGGCGTACCAAACCCAGCGCAAGATCGCCTGGAGCCGTTGGGAGCTTGGTTTTTACAAGGTGTAGGGTTTAGGGGTTAGGGTGTAGGGTTTAGGGTTCAGGAGACTTGGGCTTAGAGCTTTCGGGGCTTTCAGGGTTAAGGGTTTGGGGTTCAAGGCAAATCCATCTTCTAGGACATGTTGCGTGGATAGATATATAGATCTCATGTTGTGGGGTTTAGAGATCAACCGAATCGAGAGAGGACACACCTCCTAACCTACTACACACTCAAATTAACTTGTACTGTCACTTCTGCTATAACTTGTAAACATCGCAACCCTGTTTAACACTTTAATTCATGTGCTGATTTTTAAATTCAATCACCTCCTCCCCTCTTTCAGCTATGAAAGTTCGATATCCCTTGGCTCTCGTTGTCTCGAGACGTGGGTCCGCTCCGACGTCACACACACACACACACTCGGTGTTTGCAAGAACTTGGTTTGGGTTGCTATAACCTTCAGGTTCTCCCGTTGCTTCTAAGGGTTGAGAAAGGCATCCAGGCTCTTCATTCAGGTTACGGTAATAAGGAAGCATGTTCTGCAGTATTGCCTCTGGTTATCATAACTCAAACGCCTGAACGAGGACACGGCATCTCTTCTGTCATGATTCCAAGTGTAGGCTTGTACGCGGAATTTATCAGGGCTAGATTCGCAGAGTCCTCAAGGACACAGAAACCTAAGCCATAAAACCGAAACGCTAAAGCCCAAAAGCCTAAACATTAAGCCGCTAGACTCTGATGCATACAGCCTGAAACCCAAAACCCTTGCATTGTGGACTGCCTCAGCTAGCTCGGTTTCGCCCTGCAGCGTCGCGAGCTCCGAAAACCAGCACCTCACGGCGCAACTGACAGTTTTGAGTCCGAGTGGATGTAAGTCGTTCTCTAAATCCGGGTCTGTCCTGAGGAACCCACAATGCGGCGGCACTGTTATGAAAAGGGCCCCTTTTTGGGACCCTAACTTAGAGAACTCCCATGCGCTTGGTGCTTCCCTCGCAGTTCCTTTGATGCATTTCTCGAGCGTGCTGGAGCCACGTTCGGAGTCGTTCCGTGAAGCTGGCGGCGCGGCCCTTGTGTGCCATTGTGCCATGGCGGCACGAAGTGTCGAGAAAGGGCGAGCTGTGCATTCACGCCGAGAAGTGTGGATGCATCTCCGAAGGCGCGGCGCAAAAAGTGAGTGAGCGGAGCGAGCTCTTTCTGATTGCTCAACTCGGGACAGCATCAAAAGTAGTAGCAGCAGGTCGCAAAGGCCATGTTCCTCATGCTTCTGACAACAAATCCTGCAAATACAACATGTTGTAGTTGAGATTGTTAACGCGCACATAGGAGCTCGCGGCAGCAGTAGCAGTAACAGTAGCAGTAGCAGTAGCAGTAGTGGTGGTGGTGGTGGTGGTAGTAGTAGTAGTAGTAGTACAAGTAGTACTAGTAGTAGTAGTAGTAGTAGTAGTAGTAGTAGCAGCAATAGTAGCAATAGTAGTAATAGTAGTAATGGTAGTAGTAGTAGTAGTAGTAGTAGTAGTAGTAGTGGTAGTAGTAGCAGCAGCAGCTAGTAATAGTGTAGGAGTAGGAGTAGGAGTAGGAGTAGGAGTGGGAGTAGGAGCAGGAGCAGGAGCTGGAGTAGTAGTAGTAGTAGTAG